CTCTTGTCACAATAGTCCTAGCAGTAACCCCCTTGATGAGCAAACCCCACTGTGGGTTTGGGCATTACAGGGATCTTTGGTTAGGTAAAAGAAGTGTTGCTGTAGAGCAAATGGGGGAGGTCAAGGAGAAGCAAGAGTAGGTGAGGTTCAGAGGGGAAGTATAGCAGCCAGCTTAACCATAAAAGTTATTTATTGCCAGGTATATGAACTTATGATGATACCAATATTAATAACCATACAAGAGAGAGACAAATAAACAGTTACAATATTACATAGTTTCAACTAGGTTTTTGGGGAAGTCTAGCTCAAGTTTGATTAGCAAAAGTCAGGTTTAGAAAGCTGTGCCTGGAGTAAGAAAAGAAAAGTCAGGTTCCTGGAGTCAAAGGGAGAGAGAGTTGGGATCTCACCACTCAGTAAAGCTTGAACCAGTTGAGGTTCCCAGGTGTTGCTGGAGCTGGCAGACAGGCAGAGCACTGAGCATGATTAATGGAGAGATTCCAGGCAGAAAAGGAGGGGAACTGGTGCAGCTTTTGGATTCAAGCACCAGGACAGAACTTGAGCTTGGGTAGGGGTTTTTCTAGGGAACTAACAATGGCTCAAGGGAGAACACTAGGCTTGTTTAGGGGTAAACAATGGTTCATATGCTGGATAATAGGAACTGATCGCTTCTGGCTGTGGGTTGCATTACTGAGGGAGCTCACAATACAAACAGGAAGATGCAGTGTTTTGGATACCAATAGAAGAGTCATTACTAGAATTGGTCTGATAAATGCTGAGCTGGGTGTGTGTAGATGTGAGATGATTAGCATCTGGAGCAAGGATTCCCCATCATGCAGTGCTTCCCTGCTTTTCTGATCTCAGAATTTAGTGCGGTCCTTGCCTTGAAATCTCTGTTCTCCATCCTGAATGCTAATGAAGGTGCACGCCTGTCCCATCTCCCATTTAAGTGACTTGTCATATGGTTCCATCTCGGATGCAAATGAGACAAGGGGAGTTGTTTCACTCTCATCACCCTTGTCTGGAGGGCCTTAGGTGTGTCTCCTACTGCATCTTTACTGTCTTTTGTAAGTCCTTCCTCTAATCAGTTCTTGTTCAGGCTGAGGTGAGGAGGGGGAGAGTTCTTAGGGAGTCAGACAGGCTGCGTACTGCCTGCCAGGGTTCCCCAAGAACACGGAGCTGAGAGGTAACAGTGATCTGCATGAGATGGCACATCAGAGTAATGATGAGCTACGGCAAAGTATTGGCAGGCAGGAACTGTTATGCTGCTGCTACTTTGCAATAGCTCATTGCTACTGCACAGTAGGGTCAGAAATGACCAGTGTGGCACTGGGACTGCACAATCATTTAATACTTGCCCAAGTAACAACTGCGCAGTCAGGTGCGCATGTAGACATGCCCATGAAGTTCTACATTTTGGCACATTTAAAACAGAAAAGATGAATTTATTCAAGCACTAAACTACAGCTCAGGAAGTCTGTGGTCATTGCACAGAACTCCTCTGAATCACTGGACAGGTCATTATATCTTTTTTGTTTCAAATCCCAGTCTGTTAAATGGGTATAAACGCATCTCTCTCTCATAGGAATGTTGTGAGGGTAAAGGCTAATGAGACTAACTATCCTCCCACCTGATGTGCTAAATTTGAAATACCACCTAGTTTCTTGGGTGGGGAGGGAGGACCCTACAGGAGTACAAACTAAAAATTAACTATGAAAGGCAGCTACCTGGATAACATTTACTCAGTGACATTTTCTCTTGCAGACTGGGTCTCAGTTTCAACAAAATCACTTCTGTTGACAACAGCACTTTAGCCAATGTACCTCATCTGAGAGAACTCCACTTGAATAACAACGAACTATCCAAAGTGCCCAGTGGGCTTGCTGAACACAAATATATTCAGGTAAGCTATATCCTATAAAGTCATAGAAAGTCTGAATAATATTTCCATTATTAAGAGTTTACTATATTACTGCTATTTTACTATTAGTAATGCCCATGTTTGAACCATAAATAGCAGTTTAAAAATAAACAAATAAATAAATAACAGTTACCATTTGGACCTTTTGTATTTGTGCGCACCTAAAAAACTTCATGTAATTGTCATATCTTCAGTTTGGCAGTATTTTGCTTCAATTGTTTGTGCTAACTTGAGAAATAAAGCATACCCTATAGGAAAACTGTCATTTTAATTCTGATTTTACAGAGGGTGCATTTACTCATATTGATGATAAATGTGATTGTTGTCACGTACCCTTAATGCTCTTTTCTAACTAATCCATCTTCCTAAGACCATGTCTTATAGAAAAGTAGGGCTGGAAAGGATCTCAGGATGTCATCTAGTTGAACCCTTTTCTCAAGGCAAGATCATCCCTATCTAAACCATCCTAGACAAGTGTTTGTCTAACCTATTCTTAAAATTGTATAAACAACCCTCTCACAAAACTGCCAGGTGCAAAGCGCTGAAACACAAAGAACACTTTAATTTACCAAAAGGTAAATCAGGGATACAAAAGCACTATCAGTGTCCTGCCACTGCTGTTTGCTAAAATACAGTGGAGAAATGCCAGAAAGAGGATGAAATTTTGCAGTGCAAAGACTGCTAGGATAAGAGTATTCACACAATACTAAGCATTAACAGTTTTACAATTTATATAGGAAAGAAATCTACATCATGGCAATACTAATGATAATTCTTATAATTCATCATGAGATTGAATAGAAAACAACCTAATTTTATTTAAAAATATATATGTATGCATAATAGAGAAATACAAAACTCTAAAACTCTTGGTTCAGAAGTGATACTTTTTATTAGACCAACTAAAAATAGCAACAAAAAGGTCTTTCTTTTCAAGCTTTTGGGTACACGTACCCATCTTCAGGCTGAGGAGAAATAAAGGATTGTAGAAGTCCTCTTAGGTAGAAAATAAACTTCATTCTGCACAAGGGAAGTTGAGGCTGGATGTGTATTCCTCTGGGTCTGAGAGTCACACTCTTGTCTGCAGCACCACATACTGCATACTGCAGTCAAGCGTTCTTCTCACTGCAAGGGTACACTACCCATGCATGTGCTGTTCCAGTTTTTTTTTCCCCATGGGTATTTTTTTACCCCTGGATAACTTGTCCCCAGGGAACCAAATGTCCATGTTCATCTGGACATGGTCTATCTGCCCATTTTTGTGTCAGAATCTTGGCCAAAGAAACTCTTACTTCATATGTTTTGAAAAACCATCAATAATTAATTTTGATTATTTCATAGTGCTCTGTTTTCCCCTTCGTGTTTTAATTGTAGGCACTGATTTGGCAAGCAACTTTATATACATGACTAAAGTGCTGAAGTATCTTTCTGAATAAAGGTCACTGAAATAGCATTTCTGGTTTACTGAATTTTTGTCCAATACAACATGATTAAAAATCACTGGATGCTATCATGACTTCCTTTTTCTGGGGGTCACATATTATTGGGTCTGCTTTTATAGTTCAAGTAAGCATAAATATCAAATGAGAATATATTTACAGTAGATAAGTTAGAATCCTGGGTTGTACTATACCAGGATTGTCCAACTGTTGACTCATGGACCACATACAGTCCCACAAGTAGTCAACATGTGGTCCACAGGCTTCAGCAGCTGCCTCTCCTACTGCCTCTAGCAGAGAAATCCCCCAGAGTCTGCATGCTGCATGTACAGAAGGGGTCTGTTTGCCACTGGTGGGAGGTGGGGGATGTTGGATGCCACTGGCCCAGTCTATGTGGCAGGGGGTGAGTGTATGCATGCTTCCAGTGGAAAGGAGGGGGCATCATGTGTGGGAGTCCAGGGGCCTGGGGAGGACAAGGCAGGTTCTGCAGTGGGTGGGTCTTGCTATTCCCCCCCATTCAGATTGAAGTTGGACAGTCCTCCACTATAAATTGATTGCAGAGTTTATAAATGTTCACGTTAGTGATAAACTTTATCTTCATTAAACTGATTTCTGTTTTATATGGTTGTGTATATTTCAGGTAGTCTACCTTCACAACAACAAAATCAGTTCTGTTGCTACAAATGACTTTTGCCCTCCTGGATACAACACCAAAAAGGCTTCCTATTCAGGCGTGAGTCTCTTTAGCAACCCTGTGCAATACTGGGAAATCCAGCCATCCACTTTCAGATGTGTCTATGAACGTTCTGCCATACAGATTGGAAATTACAAATAAATTTAACAGCCTCAATTGTATTTCAGGTAGAAATACCTGTTGTCATAAGCCTGTTTAAAAATCTTTACTTAAAATTAAAAGTCTCATACTGAAAACTTTACTGTAGATTTCATATCATCAATTTGTGTAAAAATAGATCAAGCATCATACATGGACAAGAACAAACATACCATCAAAAATTGCCAGCTGTATTTTATTTTGACTTACTTCAGCCTTCATTACCAGTATGCTTTCTGCAGTGTTTTCAATTAGTTGAATGCTACAGGTTTTCAGATTCCACTGTATAGGAAATTTGGGGTAAATATTTGTCAAAACTTTTGATATTGAAAACAAATTATAGCAACTGAGGGATATTTTTTTATAGCCATGAATAGGAATTGGTGGAATAAAAAGGAGATGAGACACTCAATATATATATTTTTTCTTGGGCAAAGTTAGCCCCTTTAAATTTTAAAATCAAGCCCTGGAGGTTTAAAAATATCCACTATAACATGTTTTAAGCCTGATTCTGAATGTATCTATTTAGCAAAGGCAATATAAATTTGTTGCTAATGTCATTATTTTGGTAAAAAAAAAACAAACTCATATTGTATACATAGCTCCTTTTTAAGTGTGTTTACAATCTTTCTGAGCAATTCTAGTCAAGATTAGCAAAAAAAAAAAAACAAAAACAAAAAAACAACTTACAGTACAAGACACTACTAGACTATGCTTACCATTAACTATTTCTGGACCATGACAATAAAACATTCTCTGGGAAATTTCTACTTACCCTAATTACTTCAGTGACTTCACTACTTGTAAGTGTAAGGTAATTTGGATTTAACTACCTATTTTAATCCATGTATATATCTAAAAACTAAAACAACATCAACATTACTCATTGGTTCTGTATTGTATATTGATCAGGATTCTGCTGTTTTCAGTTTTTACTCAATTAATAAAAAGTATCAAGTAGAAATATGCAAGCTATCTGTCTGAAAAAAGGAGGCATTCATATCACTTCAGAAAATGAAAATACACCACCATTGGGACAGACCTAGAAATCATTCTTGGAAGCATCTTCTTCTGAGAGGGATTTGAAGGCAATCCAGTAATTTGGAGTTCTCCAACTCATACCAAGTGGCTGCGCATTTCTGCAGTCCTTTTCCATAAAGTTAATTGTTCTTACACATACAGGAAGGCTGCATATTTCTACTGTCATCATCTACAAAGTTAATTGTTTATACATTTGAAAAGTCACATTTGCAGGCCACTTAATTCTCCAAAAGTCATCTTTTCAA